CGTATGTATGTATGTATTATGTGTGAAGATATTACTCTTGTCATGTATTAATGTTAGATATCAATATTGTCATACATATTTACTTCACGGATATTAATAAAACATTAGATTTTTTAATGTTTTCAACTTTACAAAGATTTACTTTACTTTAAAAAGATGCACTAATTAAAACTTAATAAGAAAAAGATAATATTAAAATTGATTAAAATCTTTAAAATAAACATGTCGAAAGTAAACTCTCAATTATATCATATAAATAATATGATTATATATTATCTTAAATAAAGAGAAGCAGACATTGATTTATTTAATCATTCATCGGTAGCGCAATTAAACTATTATAATTATTCGCAGGACCACGTGATCACAGCATCAGCAATGAGAGCTTTCTTAATTCAATTAAGAATTAGTTGATTCCTGAATTTCCGGTCGCCGATTTGTTCTGCGCTGAAATATTATTCGCCTTTCTCCATTTTCCGATAACTTTAAAGCTTACACAGACAAAAAGAATAATTGAATTCCTCTCGAGGAAATAATCGTGCTGTCAGCAAGCTGGCGCGGAATGAATTCTCATAGAGAATCGGTAAAATATTTGGAATGACCTCTCACTCTTTCTATTCCTGTCTTTCTCCTTTTCTTTTCGAGGACAGATTAAAACTCGAAGGGGCCGAGGTCGACTGGTAATTTTTCTCCTTAGATCAAGCTGCGCTCTTTTCCATCTAGATATATTCGAGTAAATGCGTATATATCAAGAGAACTCGTCAACTCTGCGTTTCTGACGCCGAGAGAGATAATTCGCCAATGCTTTTTTGTATTCTGAATGACTATAAATTTAACTGAAACCTATCAGAACAGCGGATTTGGTTTCTCGTTCTGCGCATCGATCGACTTGAAGGTTTGACTACAAAAGGATCAACCTATTAAATTTTTGTTGTATATTTTGTTTTGCATTTTATCGACAAGTCCAACGAAAATTGATACAATGGTGTTACAGCTTCGATAAAGTTTCTACATAAAATGAATAATTTTGATACTTTAATTAAAGAATAATAGCAAATTTTTAATTGAAAGTTTAAAATATATTTATAAATATAAATTTAAATATATTATAATTTAATTAATTTTATTGAAAAGATATTTTTTTCTTTTAAGTTATCTCTGTTTGTAATAAATTAAATTTGAAGATAGACATGAACAATATAGAGTATTTTTAAAGAAGAAGAAGATGGATACATACAAAAAATTTATTTCTATATGTAGCAAAGATAATAATGTCTGATTATTCAGCACACACACACACACACGCGCACACACCCACACCCACCCACCCATCCATCCACACACACACACACACACACACACACACACACACACACACACACACACACACACACACACACACACACACACACACACACA